TGTACAAACCGACAACACGAAATCGATCAGTCGGGTCGATCTTTTCAAGCTTGATAATTTAGTAGGCGAGAGTAAAAAACGAATGTAAAAATTCTAAAGTGCACATGAACTACATGTCCCCGAAAAAGCAAACTAAATGGTAATGATCGAAAGAACTGACGGGAGGAGAGGGTCATGTATTTTTTCGGCGCCCATTGCGTCATTAGACCTTGTTAACCACTGAAAAACAAAGAATTGTGATTGTATGTAGTTATATGCTAGTCTGTCAATTCGACTCGCGACACCCGCGTGTTGCCAGTTGCCTTCTTGGTCGGTTTTTTGAGGGTATGGTGCGAGGTATCCGTGATCATTAGACGATTTCAATCCGAAATGCAGTTTACTGAATATTCTATACCCTATTTCATACCTAACAGACCCAAATTCTCATTCATGCTTGGTTTTAAAACCTGTACCCATCACATGCAGAGATGTATTTGTTGATCGCGTCTCGACGAGCGACGTTAACCTCAACTCTTCACATTACGGGACACGGTTAAGTTCAGATGAATAAATCGAAATCTATCAAATCTACACACAGTGTACCATGCATGGCCGGGGGGAGTTAAGACGTGCGTGTATGGAAACGTTAAACCTGTTGATTGCATCAATTGTAGATTAATCCTCCAGTCTTGTTTCATGTGATTGTCTATTTCTTGGCCGTAAACAAATTTTGTTTTATCTGTAACTCCTAAGTATACGTAGTCCATCTAGGTAGTCTGTATTAGTTTATTAACCCAGTCGAAGACAACCAGGATATTCTATGCACTCAGGCCAGTGTAGGGAGAGCATCTTTCCGTTTTCACACTGATTTCAAAGGACAGCCATGCATTTTTTAAATCCTTGTTTAGTAATCAAAGGTATTAAGCTGTTAAAAATCGCAGTTTAGCACACGTGTCCTGTTCTTCCTTTATTTTTAGAAGAGTTTAAATTATTGGTTGTCTTTTGAGACCAGTAGTGATCGCGTGAATCTGTGCTGATCGCCTGCCGATCCGTGCAAGGAATCGCGTGTAGCAGTCGTCACGGTCTACAGACTAACACATTACAGGTTACAGAAACAAAACCGGTCGTGGGATGTTTTGACGCACAATATCCCGAAACACAAAATCTCTCATCTTTAATTAATATTTGTGTTCATAATGTGAAATAACAAAACAGGGAAGAGAAACGGGAAGTTAATTGCTTGCAATTTTATTGTTCGACGAGTAGGAAATTAAAGAAAAAGAAGCACACAGGTTATCAAACGAAGTGCCTTGTTAAAAGTGCATTATTTAGATTGAGTATATTTATTTACTTTTTTCTTCAACCTTTTCAGAAGCTGTTGTGTGCGAAGAGGACCGCTTGGCAGATGAACCTGCTATGGACGTTCCGCTAGCTCTGTGATATTCAAGAAATTGCCCGAGATCAGTAGAGACAAAGTTATAAAGATGTAGAGACGGTCATGCAAAGCATTCAGTAGGAAACTGGACATCTATGGACCTCTTGGCAAAAGAACTGTGATAAAATTCCCAGGATCAGTAGAAAAAACGTAGAGATACAGGGCTTAGTAAAAGGCCACCGTGCAGGGCAATTTTAGGAACCAGGAAAATCTATGAATTATGTGAACTGCCAGCCTTCGTTTCTTCCACATCTCTTAGTTTTGGTTTTCACGGCCCATGAATCAAGAAGGTCGACGTCAACAACTCAGTTGATAAAATACTGATCCACTTCCTCTCTAAAAAGAAATAAACCGCATTCTTTCGTTAATTTCAGTTGCTCGTCGCTGAAAATCACCGTTGCGAATACATCACTGCGGTTAGAATGTTTACAAAGTTATTGCCTCATTCTCCTTCTGTTCGAACATATATTTGTTTACACAACTAAACGGCAAACATAAGCTGTAAGAAAAGCATACAAGAGCGATTAAACAATGCTCATAGAATACAACAACTGCGGCGGAAGGAAATGTTGCTTTTATCAAACAAGAAATCAGTCTTCGAAAAGATTGAAACGATTATCAGTTCAAGTTTGCATCGTAATAACAGATAATACAGATCTCGCTCTAGATCTACCAGACATGTTCGTCAGAGTGAAGTATCATGACACAAATGTCAACAGTTATCGTTAGATTGGAGTATAATAAGTCTAGACGATTAGTGGCCTGCTTGTGTTCACGTGTATTATTATAGACGCCAAAGTAAATTTATGACTGATTTCCCGCAACCGCGGGATAATTTCATAACCGCAAACCGACCCAAACCGCCAGATAAATGTGAATGTACCGGGAAAATTGGCTTCAACCGCCAAGAAAAATTCGAAGAATTCATATTCCAACTCGAAGAATTCGTAAATCACTCGCCTGCGGCTCGTGATTTACGAATTCTTCTCGTGTTCTTCCAACATCCCAAGTGGTCTATCAGCCTATAAACCATAAAAACTTGTGGTCTATTGCTTAGTTAAGCATTTTAAAAAATGAAAAAAGTTGTACCATGTAGTCACTATCAGTCTATAACCATTCAAAGTAATTTCACTTAGTGTAGATCTACTAGTGTTCTATCATGAATGCTGTTCCCCGATTGGCTACGCTACTCACTATCTATTCTGTTGTAGATAGTGAGTAGCTTAGCAGCGTGCGCTGGAGGCCGCTTCTTTGCGTTTTCGAAGTGTCTTTGAAGATGATTGAGATTAAATTTCTGAACGACTACTAGATTTATAATAAAACAATTAGGTTATTCGCTCGCGATTTCTATGCGAGATATTTGCGCCCTCGTCAACTATCACGCGATAGAAATCTCGAGCTCATAATCTAATTGTTTAATAAAAGTACAAAGAAATGGGCATCACTTGCCTTCACGATACACAGAGCTGATAATTTATTATCTCACTTCCTTGGCAAAGTATCTTTTCCAGCCTTAATCTGGATACTACATTCCCTGTAGCCCCGAAGTCGGCAATTTTTTCGCGAACAATTAACTTGAGAAGCTGGCAGCGCAATTTCTGGGTCAAAGTTGTTTTGATGAACGGTAACATCCGACACATGTTTGCAAGACTTTCAAAAGATCAACTCACGGCAGAGGAAAAACGACCGATTTCAATTCTCTTAGCAGTCTAGCTACTTGCCAAGTATTACGCCGATATGTGGCGACCAACTAGAGGTTTTGGATTTGAACAGCGCTTTTTTTCATAGCGGTTACTGTCACAACTGGCTGAATAGGGCTGAATAACCGTTCCTCGGCCTGGTGATTTGGGTCTGCGAAAAAGGAATTACTATCAAACTGGCCTGGAGGTGGAGTAATTCCTCCCCAAGATTTGCTGCGAGATTTTTGGTTTTTATTTTGGCTTCTCTTGCATCTTTTAGACTTTTGTTTCCTGTTACAATCGTCTTTCTTTTTCTTTTTTCCTCGAGTCATCGCTAGTTTAAAACGTTCTCTTTTTAATCTTCATCTCAAAAACTGATGTTTTTCTCGAAAAATTCTCTGAATTACAAAAAAAGGGGGAAAATGCGTTTCTTTTGAAATAACTGTAACAAAGTCGTTAAAAGAATACATTTTTCGGAGTTATGCCACGCCCTGAGATTTTTTATTTAACTCAGAGTAAAATTTTTAGTTACATTTTACTATTTTTTGGCTCAAGTTATTGCAGGTAGTCTAGACAATACTTTATTTAAGTACTGGAAGTAACAGTATTATGCTGATCTACAAAACTTGGAATTTGCTTAGATTTAGCCCTTAACTTGTCTAGTAAAGGATACAATCCCTACTGAACTTAAATTTACTTATTATATTTAAAAGAAAGCAATTTTTATTTTTATTTATAATACACCACAGTTGTTATAGCAAGGAGTAGTTTCTTAATTCATTGCTCGGTGTTTAGAGCCATTTGTTTTTGTTTGTACAATCGATTCCAACCTCCACACAGCCTCTCAATCTCCATAGCAACAGCAATATTTAAACGATCATTGTTGTTTGTTATCAACATAACTTTACAATGTAACAAGAAATCTTTAAAAAGAATGAAACCACGATGTCCAAATTTACAACGTAATAATAGATAATACAAATCTCGCTGTAGATCCACCAGACATGTTCCTCAGAGTAAAAGAGTCCTCAGAGTAAAAATTAAGAAAGGGTATCATGCCACATATGTCAACAATTAAGTCTAGACGATTAGTGGTCTACGTGCTTCCAGGCGTGCTTCCGTGTGTGCATGTCTGACGCCAATGATTTAATAGTGGCAGACAAAAAAAGCCACAGGGTCAAGGGCTGTGGTGGTGAAAGCCGCCTTCTTTGACTAATTGGCTTCCGATGTTCGTGTGTTCCCGTTTAACACCTGGCTGAAAAGGTTCAAATAAGGGCAATGAAGGAGACTACGTGTTAAAGAACTGCGCAAGAATTATCAGGAGGAGGAATAAACAACTAGCTTCATCTAGAAAAATACTGACCCACCTCTTTCGAATTGGGGAAGTTATATGCGATCGATCCCACTGCCCTTCATCGTATGCGCCTGCCTCAATTAAAAATAGGTAAAGGTAGGTAAAGTTTGGCAATTGGCCCATCAGGTCGGAGCTTATCCCGCTGTCTGTAGCATGAAGCGACTAGGAGTATTTATACTTCCCCTTCCAAGCGTTAGGTTCGTCGGAACCCAATTATACACCTTGGAGAGAGGCACTGTGAGAGTAAAGTGTCTTGCCCTAGAACACAACACAATGTTTCTGGCCGGGGCTCGAAGCCGGACCGCTCGGTTTTTGTGGCGAGAGGAAATAGGAGAGAACGTAGACACGCGCTATCAAAGTGGTGCGTGGCTATTGATCGCTTGTGACATCGGCGATAGCCAGGCAATAAAGAGGAATAGAAGCCCACTACACTCAAACAAATTCATCATGTAATGAGAGAATGCCAAAGGACGTTTGCCTGTTCAAGCTATGCGGGATCAACTTTGATTACAAAAAACTTCATCCAGATTTGAATACGCAGACGGACTCCATACTTGCAAAACTCTTTGTTTAACGAAACATATTTCGTTTTCAGTCACAGTTCTTTTATTTGAACTTTCAACTTGACGTGACAATGACGTTAACGAACGTTTCGTCAAGGTGGAAATGTGGTCGATTCCTTAATTTTAAACGAGTTTTAAATGACCTTAGGCAATATTTCATCGCAGATATTTATTGTTAAACATTAAAAAAAAGAGCAAAGTTGTACCATGTACTCACTATCAGTCTATAACCATTCAAAGTTATTTCATGTAATAGTACAAGGAAAAGGGAATCACTTGTTTTCACGATACACAGAGTTGATAATTTTTAATCTCACTTCCTTGGCTTGGAAAAGCCGGGTACATTTGCAGCCTTAACCTGGATTCTAAATTCCCTGTAGCCCTGAAGTCGGCAATTTTTTTTCCCAGCAAGCCTGAGGAGCTGGCAGTGCAGGTTCTGGGTGAGTAACGTCCATCACATGTGGGATTCGTTGTTTGCAGGACTTAGGATCAACTCACGACAGCAGAAAAATGACCGATTTCAATTCGCTTGGCAGTCAAGCAACACTGATACTAGAGGTCTTGGGTTTGAATCACGCTTTTTCATGGAGGTTATTCTCAAAACTGGCTGAATAGGGCCAAATAACCTTTTCCCGAGTGGAAAAGAATTGGGTCTGCGAACAAGGAATTACCCTCAAACTGGCTTGGGGGCCGAGTAATTCCTCCCCAAGACTTGCTGCGAGATTTTCTGTTTTTATTTTTGCTTCTCTTGCATCTTTCAGACTTAAATTTCCTGTTTCTATCGCCTTTCTTTTTTTTTTCCTTTTTTTTTCCGAGTCATCGCAAGCTTCATCTCGAAAACTGATGTTTTACTCGAAAAATTCTCCGAATTACAAAAATGGGGAAAAATGCGTTTCTTTTGAAATCACTGTAACAAAGTCGTTAAGAGAATGTATTTTTCGGAGCTATGCCACGCCCTAAGATTTTTTATTTAACTCAGAGTAAAATTTTCAGTTACATTTTACTATTTTTGGTTCAAGTTATAGTTTAGACAATACTTTATTTAAGTACTGGAAGTAACTGTATTATATGCTGATGTACTAAACTTGAATTTTGCCTGAATTTAGCCCTTTGAAGGGCTAAATATTAAAACTTACCGGTATCTTGTGTTTAAATTTACTTAGTATATTTAAAAGAAAGCAATTTTTTTATTATCTATAATATAACACAGTTGTTATAGCAAGGAGTAGTTTCTTAATTCATTGCTCGGTATTTAGAGCCATTTGTTTTTGTTTGTACAATCGATTCCAACCACCACAAAGCCTCTCAATCTCCATAGCAACAGCAATATTTAAGCGATCATTGTTGTTTGCTGCCACCACTTGAATACCAAGAGGCAACCCTGACTTACTCAGCCCAACAGGGCACTGTGTAACTGGTAAATAAAGAACATTAAAAATAGCGGTGTATGAAAAATTAAAGGGAAACAGCAAAGGTACATTGTGGTTCAAAGCCAACGATGGATGAGATGGATAAAGCAATACTCCATCTTCACCCAGTATTGATTCAAGTTCCAGCCTCAGTTCTTCACCCATCTTGATGAAGGATTCTGACACACTTCTAGGGGTCAAACTTTCAAATTTCTCCAGCATCCCAAGACCAATGGCAGGAATAGTGTGGTTGGAGAGTCCAACGCATGATTTCAGCAGTTCCCAGAAGGGGTTCACTGTGGACTTTTGGTTGCCCATGTAAAAACAAAATGGCTGTTGTGCTGCAGAACACATCATTGATGACCAGATCTCAAGGGAATAAGCAAGTTTGTCAACTTTAAGTGTCTCCACTTTTATGCCAAGTTTTTCCTGAAGCTGTTGACAGACATGCAGTTGAGCCTGTTTGAGTTCAGGGTCAACATTTGATACTAAAAAGTGTCCTCCACAATCTTCTACAGTGAAGTATCGCAACTTTGTTACATCTACACAACTAGCAAGGCTCAGGGTTGATATTGCATGCTCTCCTGCCATAACCTAGTGTGATATCAAATCAGTTAATTTCCATCATACTGCATAACTAGGCAATCATTGTACATAAACATAACTCCACTACCACTATCATGATAGCAGTTTGCTAATTTATTGAAAATAATATATTCAAGTACACAGTACAAGAACAAACATTATCCAGAGAGAAAATTACAGAAATTAAAAAACTAAAAATACAAAATTACGTACATGTACACTGATAATCATTATAATACTGTAGATTGCATTACTGAACAGCCTANTTCCAGCCTCAGTTCTTCACCCATCTTGATGAAGGATTCTGACACACTTCTAGGGGTCAAACTTTCAAATTTCTCCAGCATCCCAAGACCAATGGCAGGAATAGTGTGGTTGGAGAGTCCGACGCATGATTTCAGCAGTTCCCAGAAGGGGTTCACTGTGGACTCTTGGTTGCCCATGTAAAAACAAAATGGCTGTTGTGCTGCAGAAGACATCATTGATGACCAGATCTCAAGGGAATAAGCAAGTTTGTCAACTTTAAGTGTCTCCACTTTTACGCCAAGTTTTTCCTGAAGCTGTTGACAGACATGCTCTTGAGCCTGTTTGAGTTCAGGGTCAACATTTGATACTAAAAAGTGTCCTCCACAATCTTCTACAGTGAAATATCGCAGCTTTGTTACATCTACATGACTAGCAAGGTTCAGGGTTGATATTGCATGCTCTCCTGCCATAACCTAGTGTGAAATCAAATCAGTTAATTTCCATCATACTGCATAACTAAGCAATCAGTGTAAACATAACTCCATTACCACTATCATGATAATAGTTTGCTAATTTATTGAAAATAATATACTCAAATACACATTACAAGAACAAACATTATTGAGAAAGAAAATTACAGAAATTAAAAAATTAAGAATACAAAAAGAGACTCAAAATTACGTATACTGATAATCATTATAATACTGTAGATTGCATTACTGAACAGCCTACGAGTATCTAACAACTATCTTATAGAGATAGATCTATACCATAAGAAGAGGTTTGAGGTCCTCTGCATATCTACACATAGGCCCAGTACACAAGAACTGTTGTCTGTTTCCAGATGCATCAGGAAACTGACCAGTGTTAGGCACAGCATTTGGACTGGGTTTGTGTCCAAATATTCCAGTGAAGAAGGATGGCATTCTGATGCTGCCACCAATGTCTAAAAGTGGGAAAATTAAATTGATTAATATTTANTTGGACTGGGTTTGTGTCCAAATATTCCAGTGAAGAAGGATGGCATTCTGATGCTGCCACCAATGTCTAAAAGTGGGAAAATTAAATTGATTAATATTTACTTTTAGAAAACAGTCCTAAGAAAATACGCATGCTGATTGCTTAAAAATCGTGTTTCTATAACTCGATAGAAACACAGAACTAGCTCAAGCTGTTGACGTAATGATGGTGCGAGCAAAGAGAATTTACATTTTGATAATCAAAGTTAACAGGTTGTTTTCCTTTTTTCAGTGCGGTGTCTTCTAAAAGAAATAGAAAACATGTTCTCCGGGTTTCTGTTGAGTTATAGAAACACTCGTAAAAGTTTGGGAGAACTCAAAAAAGCTGTGGAAACACTCACCTGCGGCTCGTGTTCCCACAGCACTTCTCGTTCTCCCAAACTTCCACTCATGTTTCTATAACTCGATAGAGTTACGGTACATGTTTTTTATTTCTTAAATGGTGTGAAGTGAATGATTTTCCAAAATAATAAATACCAGTACTTACTGATTGATTGACTGCTTAATTGAGTGAGTGTTGGATCAAGTGGCTACACAATCCAAAACAAAAAATACAGAATGCATGTATGTATATGCTGTGTTTCAACTGATACCTCAAACAAGTTTTTTTTTTTCACCTTTTGGGGGGCTCATCAGGGATGGCAGAGCATAGTTTTGAATTGTGGGGGGGGAGGAGGCAGGGCTTACAAGCAAGCCATTAGCTGATTTTTTTCTAAAGCCCCCAGCTCCCCTGGCTCGGCCACTAGGCCTCACAAGCAATGATTGCAAATTTTCTTTTATTTGTTGCTCTTCTAACTTATTAGTCCCAGACTCTCCCTTCCCCTTTGACAAAAATATAACTGTCTTTTTAAAATAAATTGGTTGGAAAAAAATTATTTAGCACCTTGACTGAGGTAAAAATTGAACCATAACATACTCATGGGGGTATATANCTGGTGTGAAGTGAATGATTTTCCAAAATAATAAATACCAGTACTTACTGATTGATTGACTGCTTAATTGAGTGAGTGTTGGATCAAGTGGCTACACAATCCAAAACAAAAAATACAGAAAGTATGTATGTACATGCTGTGTTTCAACTGATACCTCAAACAAGTTTTTTTTCACCTTTTGGGGGGCTCATCAGGGATGGCGGAGCATAGTTTTGAATTGGGACGGGGGGGGGGGGGGGACCTTACAAGCAAGCCATTAGCTGCTTTTTTTCTTTTCTTATGTTTTGTGGGTTTTTAATAATTATTATTTTATGTATTATTTGCTTGAAATTGGGAGGGCTAAAGCCCCCAGCTCCCCTGGCTCGGCCACTAGGCCGCACAAGCAATGATTGTAAATTTTCTTTTATTTGTTGCTCTTCTAGCTTATTAGTCCCAGACTCTCCCTTCCCCTTTGACAAAACTATAACTGTCTTTTTAAAATAAATTGTTTGGAAAAAAATTATTTAGCACCTTGACTGAGGTAAAAATTGAACCATAACATACTCATGGGGGTATATATGCTGCCAGTAATTTGGGGTTGATGAATTTTTATGCCATGTTCAATGAGCTATTCAGGTTTTAACTAAGATTAACATAATTATTTAACTTTTTATGTTACATGTACCTGTAAACGTCGAGTCTCTATTTTTGGAGGGTGGGTGGAGAGGTTGAAATATGAGAAAGGTACTTTGAAGGGTTGGGTACCTTTGCATGCACTTTATATACGCAACAGAAGTTGTTGGAGATATGGAATAGTTTTCTGCTTACATACATGTAACTTTCCTAGGGTATTCCACTCATGGTATACATCACATATTGAATGACAGAGGGAAACCTTTGGTTTCCACTCATGCATTGCTGTACATAAAATTCTAGTTTAGTCTACAAGTGTAGATGATAACGATGATGTAATATTATGTAGCAGCGTGTTAGGTAGACATTAGCATCGTGGGTTGCAAGATTTTCAAGTGGAAGTCTATATGATGTTAGTTGTTTACATGTAGCACACATTTCCCAAATATCTAAGAGCCTTTTTCGTGCTTTTATATTTCTCATCAGAAGTCAGCTTTAAAGATCCCTATCGTTGCTGATTTCAGTGCATGTATGAAGTCACCTAACCAGCCACCTAATTCATGGTAATCTGAGAGGGATTAAATCAGACCTTGACACCAAAAATCTTGTGCCCTGATCTTGTCCAAAATACCAGTTTCTACAATATCTCATTTAAGATGATTTGTAAATGTTACAGAGACAAAACAAGGCAAATGGATTAATGTCCCTTTCCATGGATAAAATAATGGATCTGAACTGGGAAAATGTTCTTTTTAGATAGCTACATGTAGCATATCTCATGATCAGTTCAATCAAGACCTGGCTGGTGGTCTGGCCATGATTTGAAATAGAACCTCTCATGTTGAAGGTGGGTGTCCGAGGAACCAATCTAAATCTGATGCAGTATCAGGATAGATGGGTGGGGAAGGTGTGTGGAAGGTGTGTGGAAGGGAGGGGGGAGTGGGGTAAATGACTAGTTCAAATAATTGCAGTACCAAGTTTTTACCTGATCCCACCCCAAACACTGATCCAGCTGCTCCAATAATCGCACCCTCTCCTCCAGAACTTCCTCCAACTATTTTAGATCTGTCATAAGGATTGCAAGTCCTGCCATAAACCCTATTCGCCGACTCCCACCACATGCACAATTCACTGCAGTTAGACAGAGCCAGTGGGATAGCCCCTGCCTGTCGTAAACGAAGAACAACAACAGCGTCCTCTTTGGCTATGTGATCTTTACGAGCCACAAGTCCACCACTGTTAGGTAAGCCAGCGACTGCAAATGCTTCCTTTGCGGTAAACGGTAGGCCCAAAAAGGGTTTGGCAATCTCTAGTTCGTCCCTTTGCTCTTGAGTCATTTCGGAAAGCATTTCATCGATCTCTCTCGCCTCCAGTATGGCGTCTGAGAAACGATCAGCCACTACAGCGTTAATGCTATTATTGACGACATTTATCCTCTCTATGAACACTTCCAGAAGTTCCTCAACACCGATTTCTAAACGGCGAATCTTCGACGCAAGTGTTACTGCCGGAAGTTGCAGGTAGTTATGAATAGGTGTCTGGAACACATCGTTGCTCGACATTTTCCTTCTTTCCCTTTAAATATAGAATGTTCCTATAATGCTAAAACCTTGTTTAAGAATTGCAATATTTCACAGTAAGGTGTGGAAAAAAGGTACTTCGTATTTCTTGGACACTGCCTCAATTCACAGCTGTGTTTCCCATGATCCAACACAACCGAAAGCTTCCCGTGAGTCATCGCGGGCTGAAAATCAATGGCGGATGCCGGCGTGGAAATAAGTCCATGAAATTCACTCGGTTGATTTCATCAACTCAGGGAATTTGGACTAAAAATAGCTCGGAATTTGTTACAAAAACCTTCCCAGTGAGAGTTTCAAGTAGACTGATTTGCAGCACCATGGATCAGGGTAATTCGACCGCAAATGGCGTGGTTGAGAAGACTGCGAGCCAGCTCAAGAAAGAGGCTCAGAGACAGGCGAAGATGGAAAAATTCGCTAAAAAGAAGGAGAAAGAGGCAGCTCTGATGGAAAACCAGAATCAGGTAATCATAGGGGGTTTTTAATTTAAAGGTGTTTTTTTAAGGGATTGACAATCAAAGTGAGTTAGCCTTTCTGTATCCTTTCGGTTACTTCGACTCGCACATGGGTGACTGGCTGCCACAACAAATTTTGATAGTGTGTGCGTGGGATTGAAATAGAATAAAACACAGACACCTAGACTTTTGAGTTAAAGTTAACATGTTCTTCAAGGCTACCAGCAACAAAATATTAACTGATGTTTATATGATCGGATTTCACAACGTTGCATCACCCCTGTACTGTCCTAGGGGAGGGGAGGGGAGGGGTAAGATGTAGAAAGAAAAGTTGGTATGCCAACTTAGTAAAGTGAGACAAGTGAAGATGTGCTCTCAAGTCAAATAACTCTGAAAAGAAAAATAATTTTCTGTGTACAGATTATATGTTACATGTTATGCCTGGTTGTTATTACAGCCACTTTATTCAGACCCAAACAAAAGCTAAGTGACTCATTTTCATATTTAAAAAAACTCCTTTAGAAAATAGCCCAATGAATATATGCAAGCTAAAAGGTTTAAAAGTGGGTTTCTATAACTTGATAGAAACACAGAACTAATGTTGATGTAATACATTAATGTATGTTGACTGGGTTACTGACGGGGTCCCAATGTATTAGGCCTTCACTCAGTTAGCAGGTCATGTGTTTCATACAATCAGATTTTGCACGAGGAGTACATGTAGTCTTCATTATACCCAGTTTCAGTATCACATGCATAGGCGACATCTTTCAGCCACCTTTTGACATGTCATCTATCGACATGCCACATAACCTGGCCTATGTCAAAAATTTAAGCACAACTGACTTCTTTATGGTCGAACTCGACTTTTAGTCGTGAAAGACGGATTTATTTGACATCAGAGTAAAGCTGAAAGTATCAGGAAGTCATTCTGTGAGAGATAAATCAACTGTTTTGAATGTTTACACCTTTCAAATATTAAAAGCGATAGCAGCCCAATTCCACCAGAAGTCACTATTGAGAGCCACTTGACTACACTCAAATGGTTTGAAATTATCCTGTAAATCAGGAAACATGCAAAGTCCACAATCTTCTTCAGCCATTTGAGCTAAGTCAGTGATTATCATTTATTTGTCATTCCTTCTGCTAATAACCAGAATAAAAATTGCCACGTTCACCATTAAAAGGTCTTCCAGCCATTTACATAGCATGTTGAGAGATGGCATGTCAAAAGATGATCGAAAGATGTTGCTTATGCACGCAACACTGAAAGCAGGTGTAATGTTACTTGACAGACATTTTGATGTGGTAAGATACTTAGTACTTTGTTCTCTGTTTAGAAAAAGAAAGATAAAAAGAAGAAAGAAACAACAAAGAAAGTATTTGTGTATGACAAACCAACAGCTCCAGGAGAAAAGAAAGGTAATCAAATTAAAACTTGCGAAGAGCTATTGAATCTTTCTTGGTACATGTGTATTTAATTAATTAGTAAATTAGTAAATAATACTTTAACTAATTTAAAGATTAAGCTTGCAGCATTCAGATAACTCTAGCTGGTAAACATTCCAAGAATGTAGGTCACATATGTGTAGTCCTCACTCTGCTTTTAGTAAGACCTGCAATCAATATACATCATTACATGGCATCAACGTCTCGATCCTTTTGCAGCTTTCAGGCTATAGGATCTTAACCAAGATGGAGGACCTACATGAAAACCAGCTCAGGCTGATGTGGCTTTCTCTCTAAAGATTGTAATTTTATTAAACTGAGTTGTTTTTTATTCGTCTTCTGTAAGATGTTAGTGGAGCAATGCCAGATAGTTACAGTCCTACATATGTGGAAGCAGCATGGTATGCCTGGTGGGAAAAGGAGGTGAGGTCATGCATTCAGGAAGTAATTACTGTACAATAATTGTTTTCAATGAAATCTGAAGCACCAGCTTTCACAAACTAACTTAAAAGGTTTAATCATAAAATTTTACTTGATCATTGCTGTAGTTAATGTTATAGTCATTCCAAATATATCTGAGTGTGTATCCACAATAAGGTAATAATGAGCTAAACGAAATATATGTGTATATTATTTTGATGCTACTTGTACGCTATCACATCATTTAAAGGAGTTAGAAATGGTATCATAATTTAAACTTGCCCTGTTTAACCGACCTGTTGATACAACCAGATTGTTATGGCCCAGTAATGGTCATCTGCCAACAGTCCACGTTTTGAATTACATTGTGAGTTACATTGTGAGTTACATGTACTCGCAATGTGACCAGCTCTCTTTTGGCTTCATAGCCCAGTTGGTACAGCCTTGCACCGGTATCGCAGAGGTCATGAATTTGAAATATCTGTTCAAGCCTGAATTTTTTCGGGCTTCAATTTCACAACTGCTTAAGTTGTGTATATATCTGTGTTGATCAATCATGTCTCCATATTTTAGTACTTTTACTAATGTTGATCGTGGGAGTTACTGTAATTGCTTATTTTGTAAAATACTGATTTTTAATAGTGCATATGACTGGCGTGTAAATGTGCAATGTAATGTATGATTGTGTTGACTCTATTTGTTAATCCTTTATAATTGAGTCATGTGTAATAGTCTTTTAACAATTATTATTATTAATAGTCTGTTGGAATAATAATTAATTACATAATTCAGTATTGATAGTCTGTTGCAAAAATAATTAATTACCTATTTCATGGTTACCATATCATCTAAAATTTTATTACTGTTCCATTTGTAGGGGTTTTTCAAGCCTGAGTATGGGGTAAGGAATTACACTACATTATACTTGTACTTGTTCACAAGTCCATCAAAAAAGAAACACAAGATTATTATTGGTCTGTCTGAATTTTACAATATACAGAATGCGTATGTAAAGATACTGACAGAGGGTATATAAATTTGATTTTGTAGGCTGCTCACAATAATTTCAGGTGATTGCCTAAATTTTTGACACATGCAAATTGCATACTTGTAAAGTACTAATCTCTGAAATGAATATTTCTGATTTTTGATGTGCTATACAGTATTAATATTCGTATCATGATACAATGGAACCTCAATTTTATGAACTTTTCTATAACTAAGTCCTCGATATAATGAATGATATTCCTTGCTCCAGTAACAGTAAATTATATTAAAAGGAACCTCGATAGAACAAAACCTTGTTTCAGTGAACATATTTTGCCAGTCCCTTGGCCCTTCATATTACACTGAGGCTCCACTGTAGTATGATGAACATGATGGTGATTGATGAACCTTACATCGCCTGGTTATGCCATGTAAAGAGTTTGGTTTGTAATCTCCCAAAGTTTGATCTTTTTTCAAGTTCTCAAAATTTTTCTAGAATGAAAAATTTCTTTATGTACTTGTAGTAATAAATGTCAAAGACTTTTCTAACTACATTGCAACTTATTTTGGGAAACAGCGCAAGAACCTCCAAGAACCCAATCCACGTGGTTTATTTATGATGTGTATACCTCCCCCAAATGTGACAGGATCACTTCATCTTGGTCACGCCCTTACAAATGCCGTGGAGGATTGTATTACAAGATGGTGAGATTTCACTTACATTGTAAATAGCTCTGACTCATAAATGCATNCACTCAAATGGTTTGAAATTATCCTGTAAATCAGGAAACATGCAAAGTCCACAATCTTCTTCAGCCATTTGAGCTAAGTCAGTGATTATCATTTATTTGTCATTCCTTCTGCTAATAACCAGAATAAAAATTGCCACGTTCACCATTAAAAGGTCTTCCAGCCATTTACATAGCATGTTGAGAGATGGCATGTCAAAAGATGATCGAAAGATGTTGCTTATGCACGCAACACTGAAAGCAGGTGTAATGTTACTTGACAGACATTTTGATGTGGTAAGATACTTAGTACTTTGTTCTCTGTTTAGAAAAAGAAAGATAAAAAGAAGAAAGAAACAACAAAGAAAGTATTTGTGTATGACAAACCAACAGCTCCAGGAGAAAAGAAAGGTAATCAAATTAAAACTTGCGAAGAGCTATTGAATCTTTCTTGGTACATGTGTATTTAATTAATTAGTAAATTAGTAAATAATACTTTAACTAATTTAAAGATTAAGCTTGCAGCATTCAGATAACTCTAGCTGGTAAACATTCCAAGAATGTAGGTCACATATGTGTAGTCCTCACTCTGCTTTTAGTAAGACCTGCAATCAATATACATCATTATATGGCATCAACGTCTCGATCCTTTTGCAGCTTTCAGGCTATAGGATCTTAACCAAGATGGAGGACCTACATGAAAACCAGCTCAGGCTGATGTGGCTTTCTCTCTAAAGATTGTAATTTTATTAAACTGAGTTGTTTTTTATTCGTCTTCTGTAAGATGTTAGTGGAGCAATGCCAGATAGTTACAGTCCTACATATGTGGAAGCAGCATGGTATGCCTGGTGGGAAAAGGAGGTGAGGTCATGCATTCAGGAAGTAATTACTGTACAATAATTGTTTTCAATGAAATCTGAAGCACCAGCTTTCACAAACTAACTTAAAAGGTTTAATCATAAAATTTTACTTGATCATTGCTGTAGTTAATGTTATAGTCATTCCAAATATATCTGAGTGTGTATCCACAATAAGGTAATAATGAGCTAAACGAAATATATGTGTATATTATTTTGATGCTACTTGTACGCTATCACATCATTTAAAGGAGTTAGAAATGGTATCATAATTTAAACTTGCCCTGTTTAACCGACCTGTTGATACAACCAGATTGTTATGGCCCAGTAATGGTCATCTGCCAACAGTCCATGTTTTGAACTACATTGTGAGTTACATTGCGAGTTACATGTACTCACAATGTGACCAGCTCTCTTTTGGCTTCATAGGCCAGTTGGTACAGCCTTGCATGGGTATCGCAGAGGTCATGAGTTTGAAATATCTGTTCAAGCCTGAATTTTTTCAGGCTTCAATTTCACAACTGCTTAAATTGTGTATATAACTGCGTTGATCAATCATGTCTCCATATTTTAGTACTTTTACTAATGTTGATCGTGAGAGCTACTGTGATTGCTTATTTTGTAAAATACTGATTTTTAATAGTGCATATGACTGGCATGTAAATGTGCAATGTAATGTATGATTGTGTTGACTGTATTTTTTAATCCTTTATAATTGAGTCATGTGTAATAGTCTTTTAACAATTGTTATTATTGATAGTCTGTTGGAATAATAATTAATTACTTAATTCAGTATTGATAGTCTGTTGCAAAAATAGTTAATTACCTATTTCATGGTTACCATATCATCTAAAATTTTATTACTGTTCCATTTGTAGGGGTTTTTCAAGCCTGAGTATGGGGTAAGGAATTACACTACATTATACTTGTACTTGTTCACAAGTCCATCAAAAAAGAAACACAAGATTATTATTGGTCTGTCTGAATTTTGCAATATACAGAATGCGTATGTAAAGATACTGACAGAGGGGATATAAATTTGATTTTGTAGGTTGCTCACAATAATTTCAGGTGATTGCCTAAATTTTTGACACATCCAAATGGTGTACTTGTAAACTAATCTCTGAAATGAATATTTCTGATTTTTGATGTGCTATACAGTATTAATATACGTATCATGATACAGTGGAACCTCAATTTTATGAACTTTTCTATAACTAAGTCCTCGATATAATGAATGTNATTTGTAGGGGTTTTTCAAGCCTGAGTATGGGGTAAGGAATTACACTACATTATACTTGTACTTGTTCACAAGTCCATCAAAAAAGAAACACAAGATTATTATTGGTCTGTCTGAATTTTACAATATACAGAATGCGTATGTAAAGATACTGACAGAGGGTATATAAATTTGATTTTGTAGGCTGCTCACAATAATTTCAGGTGATTGCCTAAATTTTTGACACATGCAAATTGCATACTTGTAAAGTACTAATCTCTGAAATGAATATTTCTGATTTTTGATGTGCTATACAGTATTAATATTCGTATCATGATACAATGGAACCTCAATTTTATGAACTTTTCTATAACTAAGTCCTCGATATAATGAATGATATTCCTTGCTCCAGTAACAGTAAATTATATTAAAAGGAACCTCGATAGAACAAAACCTTGTTTCAGTGAACATATTTTGCCAGTCCCTTGGCCCTTCATATTACACTAAGGCTCCACTGTAGTATGATGAACATGATGGTGATTGATGAACCTTACATCGCCTGGTTATGCCATGTAAAGAGTTTGGTTTGTAATCTCCCAAAGTTTGATCTTTTTTCAAGTTCTCAAAATTTTTCTAGAATGAAAAATTTCTTTATGTACTTGTAGTAATAAATGTCAAAGACTTTTCTAACTACATTGCAACTTATTTTGGGAAACAGCGCAAGAACCTCCAAGAACCCAATCCACGTGGTTTATTTATGATGTGTATACCTCCCCCAAATGTGACAGGATCACTTCATCTTGGTCACGCCCTTACAAATGCCGTGGAGGATTGTATTACAAGATGGTGAGATTTCACTTACATTGTAAATAGCTCTGACTCATAAATGCATATTTAGTATTTGTCAGCCATGCAGTAATAATATTATATCTTGTATTTTACACGTAGTTTTGCATTTTTTTATTGCAAAATTTTTTCTCATTATCATTCTTTATATTTTAGGAATCGACAGATTGGAAAGACTGCATTGTGGAACCCAGGGTGTGATCATGCTGGAATAGCCACACAGGTAGAAAGCAATTAAATTTCAGTGTGCAAGTGAAGTCCTGTTCGATAGCCTAGTGCTAGTGAATTTTGTCCAAAGGGAAGTTTCTTGGGAAAATTCTAGAAGAAATGCAAGTTAAATTACAGAAGTACTGTAAGAGACAAACTTTGTGGGGGCTAGTGACAAGGCTAGCACATCATAGGCAAAAAGGTGCAGTGGCCTCATGGTTAATTTGCTCAACTCTGGATTGGGCAGTCTGGGTTTGAGCCCTGGCCAGGGTCATTGCATTGTGCTCTTGGGCAAGACACTTTACTCTTATAGTGCCTCTCGCTGCCAAGGTGTGGAAATGGATACTGGCAAATCTAATGTCGGGGGTAACCCTACGGTGGACTAGCATCTCATCCAGGGGGTTGTAGAAATACTTCTAGTTGTTTCATGCTTATTAAGTGATGGGCCACCTGGCTCTTATGCAGACTATACCTTAGGCAGAAATTGCCCAAAGGACAAGCCTGACAATTTGTTTTTGCTGCACCCTTATTTAGATCACTCTGAATGGAAGAGCTAGTTATTATTATTACCTCTAATACAGTAAATTTATTATTTCTTTAGGTTGTTGTGGAAAAAAAGTTGATGCGTGAACAAGGCATATCAAGGCACGATTTGGGAAGAGAGAAGTTTGTGGAGGCAGTGTGGAAATGGAAGAATGAGTAAGAATTCAGGTCAACTTATGTAGTTGACTCACCAATCACCTAACTTTAGTTACAGTAAATATTACTGTAAATAGTTTGATCCCTGTTACCAAATAAACATTATTTGATTGAAGAATGTGTGATCCTAATGTTAAAAAGAAAAATCCTAGTAAGGTGTTAGTAGCCAGCATACCATGTCCTTCACTCCCTGTTTTTTAGTGTCTTATTTTGGTGTGACTATGTATTGTTGGTAACTACATTCACCTTTTTCCCTGTTTTCCCATGGCAAGTGTCAAGTATTCAATGTACGGGTAATGCTGGTATTGGGGGTAGGAAAAGGGAAAGGGCTGAAAAGGTCCAGACCTTTCAGTAGGGATGAATGCACTGAGTAGATAGTCAAATTATAGTGTTCTAAGCTTCAGAAACCCTTGCATGTATATTAGAAGACATAATAATTCTGTAGTGCAGTTGATTAAAATAATTTCAACAGAATTGCATTCTTTGCTCTAAAACTACATGTACATGATTGTATTTTGAGTAACTGTAACCTGATACGTAAATGTTAATTATGACTAAGAACAATTAAAATCTATTTTGTCACCAGAAAGGGTGACCGGATCTATCAGCAGTTGAGAATGATGGGAGTCTCAGTAGATTGGGACAGAGCTTGCTTCACCATGGATCCTGTAGGTGAATTATTGTTGTGAAAAACAATCTTGATGGTTTTTTTTTTAAAGTATCAATTACTTGTATTCATCAGTAACTTGTATTCATGAGTGAAAACTGCTTGGAACATGCACTATATAGATGCTAGCAACTTATATTAAGCCATGTTTATAATTATGAGTAAGAAAATTACTTCTTTGTGATTGACTAAGAGCAGGTCAATAGTTAATATTTTTTAGTTTGCACTGCAGTCCAAATGTACGACTACTTTCACAGAAACAGTCTAGAACTTCCTCATAAAATAATACACTGTAACGGGAGGATTAACTTTATGCAAGACCGACTGTGGTTGGGATATGACGAACATGTAGATAAGATTATTTATTTATCTTTATGGAGAAAAGTTTGAAACAGTGTTAGTAACTAAACTTTGAGTAGCAAGAAAGTAATTAATTACATGGTTTCTCACCTTGCTTCAGTTATATTATTCAAAAGCTAAAAAAAGTAACTTAATACAATTTTTTTCTGATTCCCATTACAGAAGCTGAGCAGAGCTGTAAAGGAAGCATTTGTAAGATTACACGATCAAGGCCTTATCTATCGAAGCAGGAGGCTGGTCAACTGGTCTTGTACTTTAAATTCTGCCATCTCTGATATTGAGGTACAGTTTCCATATATGCACATGATATTTTTCATGCCCGAGGTTAAAATTACAAAAAGGGTGTAACATATGTCACATATATCTTAATATATGAGAGAACTGTTTTTAGAAAATTATGTTCAAACTATAAATCGAGATACTGAAAAATACTGGCTCTAAGATACAATGTATTGAGTGGGAGCAAAAAGTACAGCAGAGCACATTGTCACATGCCAAGTTCATGAATTTTCTACCTTGATATTCAAACATTTTTTGGCGGTGGGGATATACATGTACCTCTAGCAAATCTCCCTTTCCAAATATATGCTGTGTAGAGAAAAACAATGCAGAATGGAATCAGGGTTGTCTTATGGCTGCTTTGTTTTAAAATGATGGCAAGGGTCTCAGCAGAGGCCTTGCTCTTTAGCTGGGTCTCATTTTATTATTATTTTATTTATTATAGGTTGACAAGAAGGAATTACCAGGAAGGACACTGTTGCCTGTTCCTGGTTATGAAAACAAAATTGAATTTGGAGTCTTGGTGCACTTTGCCTACCCAGTGGAAGATTCAGGTAAACATTGTCAGTGATAAGAACGATTATATCTTATTGTGAAGCCAAAACAAAAAGTTTAAGTATGTAATAATAAACTATTATTGTTTGTGTTTGCAATTATGCACATTGCAGAGGAGAAGTTGGTAGTTGCTACTACTCGTGTAGAGACCATGTTAGGTGACACAGCCATAGCAGTGCATCCAGATGATCCAAGATACAAAGTAAGGAAGGAATGCTTTTGGCTGAGCTTTCAATTAACCTCTCCAACTGCAGTAGTGGCAAATTTGTAACCTCTCCCCAATCTCTCTTCACCTTTTCAAAATAAATTCTTGTAATCAGGCTAAAAGGAGGACCTTACCATCACAGTTAGAAACTTTTATGCAACTTAGAAAATACTTGTACACTCAGTCTTTCTGTTTGTGAACACCCTTAGGACCAGAATAGGTGCCTAGCTAGGGGAAAGGTGTCCATCTAGGAAGGGGACAGTTTAAGTTATTGTGCTTGTGTATGGCTGGAATGAATCTGGATTTCTGCTTAGAGAGAGGTTCATCTCTTGAGTAGAATGACATTTTACATCCTTTTTATGAACATGCATAGAATAATTCCTTCATTCTGCCTCGATACAAGCCCCAATACTTGAAGATACATGGTATTATCATTACTAGTATTGGTATTCGTATTAGAATTAGAATTAGAATTAGAATTTAGTATTAGTATTATTAGTGTTAGTGTTAGTGTTAGTATTTTATTATTATTATTATTATTATTATTATTGTTATTACTATTATTATTGTTATTATTATTATTATTATTTAACGTAACACATCTTAAACAAACTACATGTACACGTATCACAAATTACAAATTACAATAACAAAGTACTCTGCAGCCTATGGCTACATTGATACTACAATGTACATTACTTATTTACACCAGGTGTCACTTACTTACATTAGGAAAACTAAATAAGATAAAATAGTTATTAATTCTGACAACACACATTAGCTACAATTAAATCAAAGAGGATAAAAAACAAGAAAGAAAGAAAAAGAGAAAGAAAAAAACTAAAAGAAAAGGAAAACTTAAATATACAACATAAACGAAAAAGCAAACAAACATCTAATACATGTAGCTAGGGGAAGGGGGTATGAGTATGAGTATGAGTATTAGTATTAGTAAAGCTGAGTTTATGGAGGAGTAATTCAACTGTTTCATTCTAGCACCTCCATGGAAAGTTTGCTCTTCACCCATTCTGTAACCGTAAACTACCAATCATCTGCGATGATGTGGTTGATCCTCAATTTGGTACAGGTATGTGACAGTCATTTATGGATTGTGTAATACTGTTAAAAATTATATGCAGTTAAATGCAATTTAATGGAGTAAACAACAAGGAGCATGAGTCTTACCTTTGTGGTCAGAGGTGGATTGTTGAGCTATGCGCATGTGTCAGGATTCCATGTGTTCTTGGACCAAAGGGCATTGTAGCAGTTTGCATTTAGTCAGTGTTTCTTGAGCATTAGCATTTTTTTGAGCATGGGGACTCCTCTTAGATGCTGAAATAACCTTAAATATGGTTAATTAGTATTCAATTTTATGTGGTAGCATAATCAAGTCAATCTTAATCTAGTCAGTCTTTCTTGTTTTCTATTTTTAAGGTGCTGTAAAGATAACTCCAGCTCATGATCACAATGATTATGGAGTGGGTCAAAGACACAACCTGCCATTTGTCACCATGATTGATGATAGTGGAAACATAAAAAATCTCAAGGATTATTATCCAGAGTTTCAGCACTTTGCGGTTAGTTGCCTCTCATTGTGTCACATCTGTAACAACAAAGTATTAATAAAAACAACATGACTGAGTGAAATGTGGAAAGTTAGACATGCAAATGGATAGATCAAGGACAGATGGATCAAAAGAGAAGATGCAATGATCAAATGTTCTTGGAAATAATATCTAACTAATTATCTTAATTATTTAAATTAATTTTGTTAATTTTTTAATACTGTATGTATGGAACATGATGCTAATTGATTGTTTTTCATTTGAAGGGCTTGAAAAGATTTAATGCCAGGAAGGTTATACTTGATGCTTTAACTGCCAAAGGTTTGTTTATCAAGACAGACGACAATCAGATGGTAGTTCCTGTCTGTAGGTAAGTTGAAAGCCAAGGTAATTCTCTTCATATAATTCAGTGATGATAACTGTACATTCTTCTTCACATGTTAGACAATGTATTAATCAGTATTTTACATGTACATCAGTCTTGGAAGAAAATAACAACATACTGTTGTAAGAATTTTAGATAACCAGCAGCACTTGTAATGTTATTGATGTGTATGTTCTCAGGGGAGATGATGTTGTAATTTGCGCCAGACAGTGGTTTGTGGGAACAAACTGCCATTTGTTCTTAACCGCACCACTTGATTGAAGACTCACTTAACTTCTGATCCTCTTCCACAAGAAACCCTTTTAGTAATGGAATCAATATTTGTAGTATTGTAACTTACATGTAACTGGCATTTCTTAAACCATGTAGAGTAGGCAAATTATTGAATTATTGCACTTACCGTGTACACGAGAGAATGTTAACATAAGACAATGTTAACACCAAGTTTACCGCACTCGAACTTACTGGTGGCAAATTCAATGTATCTGGACATGATTAATTTACACACTTTCATTTTTTTTCTAGTCGCTCCAAGGACATTGTTGAACCCCTCATCAAACCTCAGTGGTATGTTGACTGTCAGGAAATGGCAGACATGGCTGTGAAGGTACATAAAGCACTAAATTACCATGTGTACATGTACATGTATTTCTACTCTGATTCTGTAGCTGTACATGTATGGAAAACAGTTCATTTATCTTAAGAACCGGGATTGTCACAAAGTTTTGAAGTTGGTGGCTTTGTTGTTTGAGCAGGCACTTGATTTTGCCATCTTATTCTAGAAAATCAGACAAATAGCCTGGCAGAGTAGCCAGCCAAGATCATAAAGTAAACAATGATTTTCACTGGCAGTTGGCTATCCCTACCTGCGGCAACCCTGTTAGGGAGCTGGGGTGGTCTAAGGGGGTTTGGTTGAACACCCTAAATTTAAAAATGAGACATTCTGATGCGCTGTCTTGGCCTCATAATGCCAAAAATCCCATTTCCAAGGACCTCAATTTAAAAAATATTCTTGGGTGGGATGCCCCTGGATTCCCTACAGTCTGTATCTTGAACCCCCATCTCTAGAATCTGTATCTGCCCCAGAGGGGCGGAGGGTTTTTCATGATTTATAGGTACACATAGATGAAGCCTCCACATTTCAATTGATAGTGTTACAAAAATAATCAGTAAAAATAAGCAACTGAAGGTAAGTGACAGTACTGATTACTTGCCAGGCATGAAACAGATCTTACTTGTTTTCTGCAGTTTGAAATGACATCATCTCCTGGCAAGTTTGTCGAATTTCAAAGGAGAGAGTTTCTGAACCAGTTGTACAACCGTTACTTAAGTATTGAGTTCTTCTTGATGCTTGGATCTTTGACTAATTTTACCTACAGGCAGTTCGAAATGGAGACCTGAAGATCATTCCAAGCATGCATGAAAAGGTGTGGTACAACTGGCTCGAGAATTGTAGGTTAGTAACGTTTTCAGTGGCCTTCACTAATGTTGATGAGCATGTGAAAACAACAGTAATACAATGCTGAGGAGGTGATGTTGTAATTTGCGCCAGACAGTGGTTTGTGGGAACAGACTGCCATCTGTTCTTAACGACACCACTTGGTTGAAGACTCACACACTTTCTGATCCTCATCAAAAAATATAATAATAATAATTGTCATGTTAACATTGCATTGGGAATTTGCCATATTAAATAATAACAGCTGAAAAATGAACGTGTCAACCCACTCAATGATTTTCTCAAGAACTATTTTTCAATTCCAAATATTACACTGTAATATAGATGTTGTTTAATTTTATCAAACAACCAACACCTTACAAGATACATTATAAATGGGAATAACGTTTTTAAGAAAAACCAAAGGAACCCCGGCTGTTAAATGATGTTTACTATTGAAATCAGTCTATCAATCTTATCTCCCATTACGGAAGAGCACCGATCTATTCTACCAGTTCTCACCGCTTGTTATTTTGCTTGTCATACCAAAACTAAAGCTAACTAACACCACAATGTTTTTCCCCTAGGGACTGGTGCATCTCCCGACAACTTTGGTGGGGCCATCGTATCCCAGCATACTTTGTGACTGTTGATGATCCATCTGTTCCGCCAGGGGAGGTGGGAGGGTTCTGTTTTTAACCATCATTTAAATCTCTGATTGTTAAAGATATTCGTTGCACAATCTCCATCGTGCTTGTGTGAATTGAATTTCATTTTCTTCCTCTGTCGATTTGTGTTGTTGTTGTACTTGCTTGTAGTTTTTAAACGATCCACTACACGATTTACGTATCCTGAAAAATCTAAAGTAAAGTTTTTAAGTTCAAGTCCGTCGTAGTGTTCTCTATCTCTCTCTTTGGTTTATTATTGTCCCTTTGGTGTTTGTCTAACTTAGTTTCAGGTTGTCTATATTTTGAAGGCCTTTGTGAGTCGCACAAATGAATGAAAATATCGTGACGTGGCTCCCTTTAAAGTAATGCAAAAAAGTCTGAGTTCCTTGCCTAGAAAAGCTGACTATATGAATATCTATTTTCAGGATACGGATGGTAAATACTGGGTCAGGTAAATGGAAGAACTATTTTCTGCACTAGACCATGGATTTGTTGTACTGCTCTTTTACTGGAATTCACGTTCGTCGTAAATTGTATAGCTATTGTCACAATAGCTACAGGTAGTGATTTCAATTGGGTGCTGATTTGAAATCGCTTTGCTCTAAAAAAACAATAAAGAACATTTAAAAATTCTGATTTAACTAGCTGGTAAAAGTCTCTGTTTTTTGTTGTTTTTGTTTTGTTTTGTTTTTCTCAACTTTGTACAAAATTGGATCCCCGAAAATGGAATGTATCAAGGTGGTATGTCTTTAAATCAAAATCAGTTTCAATGTTTTATGTCGCTTTTTACTTTATTTAGCGGTCGGACAGAAGAGGAAGTGCTAAAGAAAGCAGCAGAAAGGTTCAATGTAGCCCCTGAAAAGATCACTCTGAAACAAGGTACAGAAAGTGAATAAGTATAGTAAAGCAGGTCCGTCAGAATTTCTGATCTCGAAAAGCTGATGGATGATTCGCCGATTTTCGTAAGAAAGGTTGACAATGAATTGACTTGTTCTGGACTTTTCATCTGTAAAGAATCTCAAATTCTAAAAGCCCATAAAATAATACTCCGTATGAGAGGAACAACTGCGTTAGAAATTGAAAAAGAGAATTAGAATTCGTGGTCAGCAACGGAAGTTGTACAATCAGTTGTTTGATGATAAATCTTATGTTTATGCTCGACTGTTCTGTTATAATTATGTTGCAGACGAAGATGTATTAGATACGTGGTTCTCCTCCGGCCTGTTTCCTTTCTCCATATTTGGTTGGCCAGAAGAGGTCAGTTTCCTTATCGAGTTTGTGTCCACTAGGCAGTTATCGTGGTTGTAAGTCATGGTCAGAGGTCACTCCTGTTTGGAGAACTTGAAGTTCCTGTTCCGAGTTGATTCACGGGCTGTTTACTGTGTTTTTACCAATCTTTCTATACCCTATTATTTTTAAGTACTTTTTTTTTTGTGCTATTTTGACCACTAGTGTGAACTGTAATTGAAAAGATTGGTAGTCTAATAGTCTGAACTCTAATGCCGAGGAGATGATGTTGTAATTTGCGCCGGACAGTGGTTTGTGGGAACAGACTGCCATCTGTTCTTAACCACACCACTTGTTTGAAGACACACTTAACTTCTGATCCTTGTGCAAAAGAATCTCACCCGCTTAAAAGTAAATGCAAGCAAGATGTGTGTTAAATATGTTCATGCTTACTGAGCATATAGTGACTCTTTTCAAAAATTGGAGAAAAGAAATGTCAGATACCTTGATATCTGCGTAGCGTCGAATCTTTTGCCCAAAATTGCAACTGATTGGTAATCGTGTTTTCTTTTTCCATTTAGACTGATGATTATAAAGTATTTTATCCTGGAACGCTCTTAGAAACTGGACACGACATCCTGTTCTTCTGGATTGCCCGGATGGTGAAGCTGGGCCTCAAGCTTACTGGTCAGCTGCCATTCACTGAAGTGTTTCTCCACGCAATGGTTCGAGATGCGCATGGCAGAAAGATGAGCAAGTCTCTGGGGAATGTTATTGACCCCGTTGACGTCATTAAGGGAGTATCACTGGAAGTGAGTGTTACAAAATTATAGAGCACCTTTTTGTTTGCAGGTTATTGTAGCACCTTCTCCTTTTTCTGCAGCTTATCCTATATACATACTGATGGTGGCGTCGTAGAGATTCATTTCATAGCTCATAAAACATAACACACTTTTTTGGGAGCAATTTTTCAGAAACGCTCCAAATGTTCACTTTAGACATTTCCGTAGGGTCACTTGTTTTAAGAACTCGAAACATGATGTATTCTTACCAACAGCCCCACAGATTTATATGAATGTTAGTTCCGAAATCTCACTTTGCTCTTGGGAGTTTAAAACGTCAAGTGTAACTTTGTAACAATCTGCAAGCTTCCGAGCACAGATAAGGAGTCTGTGTGCATTAGGTGCGAGTTCAGCACGGCAGAAACAAATCATTTTTGGTTGTCACTGGCGTCCGTTATGCTTTGTTCGGTGACCCCTTCTTAAATATGGCGTTTTTGTTGTTCCAAGGAACTTCACCTTCAGCTTGAGAACAGTAGCAACCTGGATCCAAGGGAAGTAGAGCGAGCTAAGAAAGGACAGGTTAGTTGTGGGTTTTGTTGAGGGTTGGTCAAATTTGAAACTAATTTTAACCATGCTACTGCCTCGAGTTTCAGAAATTTGTCCCTATTCCAATGCATAGATCCATTTCCGTCGTCAGTTATCTTCATTTTCTGATTTCATCCGTCATTTGTCGAATTCAAACCGTTAACATTGTCTGGTTTTTGGTGACCTAGGCATGTTTTAGTCTGAGCTTCCCGAAAGTAGAATATTGTGACTATAACTCATCGTCTTTGTACTTCACAGAAAGAAGATTATCCTGAAGGAATTCCTGAGTGTGGTACTGACGCTTTGCGGTTTGCACTCTGTGCTTATACTGCGCAAGGTAAGTCCGTTTACGAGTACAACTGTTGATAAGAGATAATTCTGTCGTCGTATCATAGGGGTCAGCGGTATTCCGCATGGGCCGTATTGTGTGTGTAAAACGAACAGGGCTGCATGTCAGCTGAGAATAAAGTGTTGTGTTCTCGAAAGCTGTTGTTCCTTTGATGGAAGCTTTCCCAGCCGGTCAACACAAGTGTAACAATCAGAATGGATATAAACATTCTTGGTTTTTGTACACTACGTAGAGGGCTTTTGCAAGTTGTAGTCGTTATTTTTTAGTACATTGGATGACTGCGTGCTTTTCAGTCTTTTCTTCAATGCGGACATGTTTGTGTAATCCTCTCTACTTGTTCTACAGGACGTGACATCAATCTTGACGTACTCCGTGTACAGGGTTATCGTCATTTCTGCAACAAGTTGTGGAACGCCACAAAGTTTGCACTTAGCGGTCTTGGATCTGACTTTAAACCGAACGTCAAACCAGAGGTAAGATAGAGCTGGCAAAAGGCGATCATAGTTTTGTATACAAAATGAAAATTTCACCATGTGAGAGTATGCCCAATTACCACTATGAATCGTGCCTGCAGGGAATCATGGTAGTCATGGTGGACTGGATATTTGTTTTGAGGACTACAACTGCCATGATTCACTGCAGGCGCGCCTCATAGAATGAAGCAAAAGAATGCATCCTAGAAAACTTGGCTTCATTTTTATGAATGTCAGTAATCGTCAAAGAACTACATTTAGTTTAAACGGAATTCTTCTTGTTTCCCTTACTGGAAATTTGACACACGTAGCCAACATTTTTGAGCTTGATGACACAAAATACAATTAGCAAATTGTATTTTTACCGTGACTCCCACTGTGTTCAAATTCTTTGACAAGACATATTAAGTCACATGTACTTATATGAAGTCATACCTTGAATGATCGAATTATTCGAAGCAAGCTTATCCCTACACGGTATACATAGACTGAACACTTACTGTTGCTGAGACATAAAGTGTTGTTCAATAAGTCGTTTGAAATCACGATCCTCATCTGTTAACACCCTCTTATCACTTGACTTGCTTGTACGGCAGAGGTTTACACTGAAGTGAGTTGCACACGAAAACTGTGCAAACAATTTTACTGCTCGTGTACTTTTTAAGAACTTATGTAGCACACTGTTTCGTGACTACAAATTGAAACGTTGGAGCTTATCTTTCTTTTGTTGAACTGTTCAGGGTCACGGCTACCATGTTTTTCCCGCCAAATTAGCGACGTTTCTGCGCTTGCGCGCTGGATGCATTTGCCTTGCATGTATCGTGTTTTATGTACAGAAAACTTCTCAGAATAAAAGTTGAAGAAAGTAGTTTTCAAAATAATGTATTTAACTATTAAAATATCAGCTTATATTTAAAGAGTCTTTCTGTCTCTTTGAATACAGCTAATAGGTAACGAGACTCCAGAAGACCGCTGGATTTTGAGCCGGTTATCCTACGCGGAGAAAACAGCCAATGAAGGCTTCAGGAATTATGACTTCCCATCAGCTACTACGGCCATTTACAACTTTTGGCTGTACGAGCTGTGTGACGTTTATTTGGTAAGGAACTATTTAGCTGAATAAGAAATAAAGTCGAAATAGCTTTCCACCAGTAAATTGGGCCTGTGGTCACGAGACATGTTCCCGTTGCAGCAGTGTCATAGTGGTACAATAGACTTGGTTTAACAATAACCTTGTAAACAAGGTTTTTAGAAGGGCGTCACTGAACCTCGTCTGAAAGCATTGTGAGAATTTCTCCTAAGAAAAAAATGTAATAAAAGTAGATAATTTGGATCAAAGTATCTGAAGCCGTGCTGCTGACCGGTTTGAAAACTAAAGTTAACTTTCTCGTTTCGTGGCTAAAGGAAGCGATAGAACCCTTATAGAGACACGTTATTCCTGGGTATAGCCACACCCTTCAAGTAATCCAAGATTTTCGAGTTCGTTCTCAGTTCTGTTGTTTTATTTTATAGGAATACCTTAAACCAGTTTTACAAAGTGACAACAAGGAAACAGTCAACACAGCACGTAACACTCTGTATCCTGTCAATGTCAGTTCATTTTCTCTTTTTTTTTTTTATCCACTTCACTCTCCATAAGCTATGTTATCTTATTAAACATTGCAACTTTTCGAGTTACAAAAATGCATTCGGGTTAAAGTAGTGAAAACCTGTACCTGGAACTTGGTATGAGTTTACTGTCACCTCGAATCGCCTTTGCCACCTTTAGGCTACTTGTTGAATTGCGGTACAGACTCGTCAATATTGCGAATTGTCAGGCTGTTGGAAGCCAATTGGAGTCACACGTGCATGTACAGCAGAGCAGAAGAAGTGAATTTAAGGTAATATATAGTAATATTTCTTAACCTTTCCAAGCTACACGTGTTTGGAGAATGGTTTGATTCTTCTCAGTCCGTTTATGCCTTACGTAACAGAGGAGCTTTATCAACGATTACCACGCAGGACTGAGAGTTCACCGCCAAGTGTTTGCGTTACACCTTACCCAGAAGAGGTAGGTGATGAGTTATTAGTGGGGTGGGGAGGGCAGGTACCTTTTATAGAACGCATTACCTTGTGTAAAATGTTTAACTCTGGAATTTATCACCACAGCGTTGGGCTGTTTTCAGTAATGATCATACTGCATCAATTTCTTTTCAAACTCCTCAAAGCATATTTCTTGCCGGAGCTCTAACCCTAACTGAGAGGAGGCGCGCTGGTCTCCGAATCGAGCGGTTCGGGCTCGAGCCCTGGCCGGGGACATTGTGTTGTGTTCTTGGACAAGACACTTTACTCTCACAGTGCCTCTCTCCACCCAGGTGTGTAAATGGGTACCGGCGAATTTAATACTGGGGGTAGCCCTGCGATGGACTAGCATGCCATCCAGGGGGAGTAGAAATACTCCTAGTCGCTTCATGCCACAGAAACCGGGATAAGGTCCGGCCCGATGAGCCACTTGGCTCGTATGCAGACTTGACCCACCTAAACCTAACTGTAACGTGCATTAAGGTGTGCTTGGCTAGCACCTGTTGGAAGTGGGGTCCTTGAGTACTAAGTATAAAGTTTTTTTTTATTCGCAGCTTCCTTGGAGAGACACGACTCTTGAAGATGAGATGAATCTGTTACAAAGTATTGTGAAAACAATCCGTTCTATTCGTCAGGAGTATAATTTGACGCGCGCCAAACCTGAAGGTATTTTCCTTGTCGTTTTATCCGTTTGCTTTGGGCATGCTATAAATTTAGGGGCGTCATAAGATGCCTCGCGTCTTTGCTGTGTTTCGTTTTAAAAACCAGATTTATTTTTTACTGTGCAGTGTATGTGGTGTTTTCCGAGCAGACTTTGGCAGAAACCGTCAACAAATACACGGACACAGCGTGCACGCTCAGCTCCAGTGAGAGGTAACTTTGACAGGAATCGTGGTGTGTGATTACACACGCTCACTCTCTTTCTTATTATTACTTTGAAAGATTCATCAGTGTTGAGTGTTGACACTCGTTCTTTGTTTGTCCATAGTAGACTCACTTTTTCGCTGTTCATATTTCTGATAGGATTCATGTTGTGTGTGAAGAGAAGCCACCTCAGGGATGTGCCGTGGCTACCGTGTCAGACAAGTGTGAAGTACACGTGCTTCTCAAGGTACATACTTCAGTCTCCTTGAGTATCTTCTGGGCACACTTTTTGACTTCTCCCTTGGTCATTTCTCGGCATAGACTGATTGTGCCTTATTCCGAAGTTTTAGGCTAGACTTGGCGGTTAGACACTTTCTAAATTACTGAAACCTTGCTCTTCGACGTCCAAGTCGGGTCTGTTCATAACGATTCGCTTAGGTTACTCGATTTGAACATTTTCCTTGTCTCACGAACGATAACAATGACGCTCGCATTGCTTCATTTTCAGGGCTTGGTGGACGTAGCTAAAGAAATCACCAAGTTGGAGAGCAAAAAGGAGAAACTGAACGGCCAGCTTGGAAAATTAAGAGAAGCCATGGAAATGGCTGACTACGTTACAAAGGTACATTTCCAACGAGAGAACTGTATTTGCTGTTAGTAATTTACAACTCATTTTGAGCCTGTGGGTTACTAAGTAACTTACTTTATTTTACCAGAGTAGCCCATTCAGCAAGGAGGCTGAGATCCATAGGGGCCCTGGGGAATAAAGATATGTACAGTTGATAAAATCTAAAAAATTACGCGCCTTCTTTGCCATGGGGAATTTTTAAATTTTGAGACAAATGGTTCTACTAGATCAAAACGAATATCGAAGTAAGAATGAGACGTATTTTGACACGAGTCGCAGCGCATATCGAACCAGCCGTAATGGAGACGTTTTCTTGCCCAACACCGACATCATGGTTTATTTGTTGGTCCGACTTTCCAGAGATTACCTCCTCACGCTCTTTGCTCCATTACAAGCATGGCTTGGACCAAAGAAGGTGGGATTCTGCTGCTAATTGTAACATTTGCTGTGCTTCCAATCGTTTCAGGTGCCGGAAAATGTTCAACAACAGAATACAGAAAAGGTATGACTCATTTGGTTTTCCCAGTCGTGATCTCACTTACCCGATCAAGGGTGCCGCGATTAGGTTATCCAATAGTTGTTGTGTTAGCCTTATAGTGAGGCGGGCAATGTCATCTAGAAGGTCGAATGCGCTATTCTTTTATCAGACTTCATGTAATACATACAGTACGTGGCAGTGATTTCTTTCGGACCCATCGACTTTAACAAAGAAAATAGTCACTTTTTGAGAAGGAAGCCAATCATGTTTTGTGGCACAAAATGTGAGTTATTGTAAATTTTGATTTTTATATTTGCACTGTTTTCTTTAATTTGCAGCTCAAACAGTTGGAGACAGAGCTTGGAAAGATCGAGAAGGCTATCACATCCTTTAAAATGGCAGAGTAATAGAACGCAGTTCATCTTCAATGATAGTCAATGAATGATATGCTATAAAAATGTCCAAGTTACAACAACTGTCAGTCTGTTCCAGGCGTTTGTTCAGGAGGCAGCGGGAAGAATGGCGTGCAAAAGATAGGCTAGGGGCTTGGGAGATGGGAAGAGGATGCCTGTGATCTTCGTTCTTCACACCTATTCCCAGTCTCCCAGTCTCTTAGTCCCTCACCGCCCTCACCCAGCTCCTTGTTTTTCCACTCACCATTCGTCGTGCTGTTCCCCAACTAACCGCACGTCTTTGCTGGATCCGGCTACCTGCTCTCTCAATGCAAAGCCGGACCTCGAACAAGATCGTGACTGGCGAGGTTACTCTAGAGCACTACAGTAACTAGCCGGTTGGCTCGTTTCGGACACAGAATGCCCACGACTCTAAACTAGAGAATGGTTTTAAATAGTTTACTATGGTTTTATAACCAAAACTAGCTCGACACACACCAACAGATGGTCTTCATTGAGCCAAATATTAGTTTCATTGTTTCATTTAGTTAACTTGTTTCTATTAATTTCAATTCAATTATTTTCATTCATTTCAATTATTGTGTGCTCGGTTACTTAAAATGCTGGTTAGTAATTTAACGAGCGCAACTGACTTCTTCCCTGTGGATTTTGCCAGAAGAATCCTGAAGAATCGTGAATTTTAATATGCAATAAAGAAAACTTAAAGCGATACTCTTGTTACAATTATCTGAACTTTACCTTGGAGCTCCTGTTTCAAACCCTTGTAGTTTGCTGGGTATTTCGGAGCATAAGCTGCTCCAATCCCCCCCCCCCTTCCCGTCTGTGACCAGGCGTTCCATCTCGGTTCAGGAGTAGCCCTCGGACTGGGTGGTACGTTTGTGCCCCTTCTCCAGCTGCTACGCGGTCTGCCTCTGCATCTGTTACACTGTGGGTTCCACGGGAGGGTTTGTCGGACAATGCAGTCAGTTGGTCTTCTATGTGTATGGCCTATCTATCCATAACCATGTCCTGTTCATGATCTGTTGTTTCGCCGGTACTTACCCTGTAATCTCCCACAGGTTTAAAGTCACTGATGTATAACTTGAAAAGTATGGAATTTAGACACGTTATCGCCTGAACGCTTTTGTCTTGAGCCCTTACGGCAAACATGAAGCACAGAAAAATAAACGCTACTACGTGTACCGTTCATTAATTTTCCGGGCTGTAAGCGGACTTTATCCATGACTTCGTACAGTAAACAGTTAATGGCGTCGATTTGAAGGGTCACATATTGAGGTTTTCTCCAGTAAAGTTAGAGCTTCCTTGTACAGCGAGATCCACCACAGGGTTGCCACGGTCAGGGAAATTTAGATTTTATTCAAGGTCAGGGAAAAGTCAGGGAGTTTTGTGTCAGGCCAGGGAATTTCTAAATCCGTCTTCAGTCAGTGAAAAGTCAGCGAATTTTATCTTATGGTTGCCGTAAATTATTCTAGTAGATGTTTTCGTCTAGACAAGGCAATTTTTGTTTGAAAAATTATCTGAGCCATACTTAGTTTTGTTGATTCATGGCCAGAATAATCATCCCGCACGGTCAGTGATAATTACTTTACAGTCAGTGAAAAGCCTGGGATTTCTTTCTGTTCCGGTGGCAACCCTGTCATATACTCTTCTATCTTTTCTACCGCGGTACACATCAACCTCGTTCACAAGGTCTCTCTCTCCCCGCCCCCAGAGAGACCCTGGGAACGAGGTTGGGTGCACGTGTATTCATCACTTGATAATTACTTCACGGGTTTCAAGTGAATATGGAAAAGAATAGAGAACGTATGGGGGCTGAAATTTAGTTGTACACTTTTTTACAGCTTTCTTCGTAACTGCTCAGGTTCGTATGTAACTGCAGCAACATGAAAGTATGTAGTGCAGCTTGATAGATTGCTTACACCCGCTTTCAGTGTTACGTGCATAGGCGACATCTTTCGACCGTCTTTCGACATGCTATGAAAGACCGTTTAACTGTGAAACTGGTAGTTTTTCCGGCTATTAGCGGAGGAAATGACAAGTAAATGATAGTTACCTACCTCAAATGGCTGAGGAAGATTTTGGGCTTTGCATGCTTCCCTATTTATGGAATGATTCAAGCGATTTAGTGTAGTCGATCGGTTCCCAATAGTGACTTCCGCAACGTGTGAACATTCAAAACAGTTGACTTATTTCTGCCAGAATGACTTCTTGATACTCAACCTTAATTTGATGTCAAATAAATCAATCTTTCATCATTCATTTCGAGTTCGACCGTAGAGAAGTCCGTTGTGCTTACATTTTTAACTAGGCCAGGTTACATAGCAGGTCGAAAGATGGCATGTCGAAAGATGTCGCCTATGCACGAAACACTGAAAGCGGGTGTACATATACGGAACAAAATACCTAGGGTTCATCAACCACCAGGCTGTAGACTCCCTTCAGAAGAACTGCTTTCATTTGCATGGTCACACTCAGGTTTCCTGAACGATTGAGCCCACACTGTACAGCACAGCCAGTAGCACATGCAAGTCTTGCTCGATGGCTTTCATTTAAATGGCCACATTGGCGTTTCCTTCGCATGCACCATTAATTGGAGTGAGTTTCAATCATTATCATAACACCGTCATGAACTGAACAATCCAACGATTTATTCTTGTTTGATTTCCCTTGATTTGATTACTTACGTGAAATCACACTGACCAAAATTTTAATATTATTTTTCCCCAATTGTAGAGAGCGCTTATGCTTCAATATTTATTCCCTTTTCACCATAGTTCACCCAACAGAGTGCATGTTTTGGTACCCTATCTACGGTATGTATACAATACTGCTGCATAGCTTGCTTGCAGTTTACATAAAAAGTGCCTCTCGAAATCCTGCAGTTATCTTAGTATTATCCTAACAGCAAAACTACAATCATTTTAACTAGCCAAACTACACAAGTTCCCTTTCTTGCATTTTAACTGAGCGGAGAAAAGCTCCTAAGCAAACTTACTTTTTTTACCCATTTGGCTTATTCTGCCCACCCCACCACCTAAAACACAAGGGACAACTTCATGGTCCAACAAATAAATAGTTAATACATTATGTTGAGTAACGTTAAATATAAATACTGATAGATTCTTGCTGCCCGTTTTCCAGGCACTGAATCTGGTCAAATTCATACTAACAACTATCATAAACCCAGTACAACGACATCAGATTAACCTTCGATCAGGCGTCTAACTTTTGAAAGGGATAAGGAAGGTATGATCGCAAGTTATCATTAGATACGTTAACAATTTTTTTCGGGACATGACTAAAATCTAATTTCTTCGTTATCCTACTTCAAAGTGTGGCTTGTAGAACAATTATAAATCTTCGGAAGTCTCAAAGCTGAGCCGTGCCTGCAAAATAACATGATTTGTTGTATCATTTATTTGTTCATTATTTTTTACCCAACCAAGCCCCTTTTGATTGGTTCAGACAGAGAGCAAATCATCGAAATTTTAAGTTCTGTCTTTTGTGTTATCGCTAAGAAGTCAGGAACTCGTTGTTAAAGCTGTCGACAAGCAAGCAATAACCTTGAAAAATGACTAAAATCCAGGAGCGTTTTCCAATTCGTGTACTATCGGAATTTAGAGAAAAACCTCGCGAGGTATACTCAAATCGAAAATTTCGTACCGGGAATTTCCGTTTCAATAGATTTTCCCTCCAGAATTTCCAGAATTTTCGGTTGAGTGGTTCGCATTTCGGAAATTTAACAATTTTCGTTTTTTTTCCGGAAATTTCCGTACCAGTTGCGCCAGTTCCTGCAGTTTTGGTGGAATGGAAAGCACCCCCGTCCTTCGCGCACTCAACACCCATGAACCTAAAACGTCTTTTCATAAAGCCCGAGTTCCTAAAACGAAATGCCATTTTATACTCACCTGGTCAGCGAACGTGACTTGCCAGTCCTCATTATCCCCTATCGAACGCTCTCCATCTTCTTCTTCCAAAGGGCTGAACTGCACATCGACAGACCACAGGTCTCTGAGCCTCTCGGCGCGCCTGCGCACACTGAGTCTCGCACCAGTCTTTCTTGATGACGCTGACTGATCATCAAAGTCGATTTCGTCCGTTTGTGTACGAGCGAAGTTGATGAAAACCTGGAAAGAAAACAGAACTTTTCAATTCAAGTAACCAAGAGAATGGAAAGTTGGAAAGGACCAAATGATCGCTCTTACGTTGTCTAGAGTAGTCTGACTGACTGAATAGTCCTCGATCTTCAAAGTTTCGTAAGACGACTCGATGTGCCCAAACACTTCGGAAAGCGCCATGACACCCGAGGGAAGCTGGTACTGAACAATGTTGTGGTGATGTTCCTGAAACGAACCAAGAGTAAGCGTACATAGCAAGTGACCTCGTTATTATGTTATTTTACACAAAAGAACGTTCAAGTCAGTGCCAGCAACTGTTTTCAAAGCTACCCGTGGAAAAAAAGAGTAATTGAGCAGGTGAGCATATACAAGTCATGGAACAATGCTAAATTGTGAGAATGAGGTCAGAAGTTCAACCGCTCTATCTAATTTCTAGTGGATGTTCCATTAGGTGTGCCTTAACTAATGTCATTAAGATTTCACCGGTCTTTGACGATGGAGCATACCTTGAGCGTAGCATGTGGGAACTTGTCCGAAAAGAACTGGTAGAGAGGTTCCAAATTTGGTAAGTCTCCCTGGATTCGGACCGTGATGATGTAGCCTTCTCCGAACCTGCCGAACATTTGAAAGTGCTGAATACTGTGCACTTAAGGAACGGTAAAGGCGAGAATCCAAGACAGTCAGAATGACCCAATGATAGTTTGATTACCCGACTAACCTGTTTTTGAGATGTTGACAGCTTCCCAGACACTTGAATTGGCCATTGACCATGATCGCCATACGAGTACATAATGCTTCACACTCTTCCATACTATTTAACGCAACAAAAAATAGTTTTGTTATTTATTTCAATAATAACACAACTCATTTTTCAAGAATTAAATTACCAATGAATTAAATGACTTTCAGTGCACTGTTAACAATGACTCCACATTCTAGTAACTAAATCGTTAATAATTTTACTTGTAATGCGCTACAAATAAATTATTATTATTATTATTATTATTATTGTCATTGTCACTGTCACTGTCACTGTTACCGTCATTGTTATTGTCAATGTCATTGTCACTGCCATTGTTATTGTCATGCTGCTGCTGCTGCTGCTGATGATGATGATGATGATGATGATGATGATGATTGGATTTGATTGGATTTGAGATACTTTTGTTTCAGTTTCTTTTGAAGTGGCTCAAAGAAGGTTTGGTTTCTCAAAAAACCCATGAATTTCTGGAACGGATTCCAAACATGACATCAACTTTAAAATCTGACCTGTGTGAAGTCAAGATGACTGAGCGACCGTCCTTGATGATCTCCAGAATCAGATTCCAAAGGAAGCGACGGGCATGCGGGTCCATTCCGGTGGTAGGTTCATCCTGAACAGATGGATGACAGCCCGTTAGCAAAAGGACCAAAATTAATATTAATTATTAAGCCGGGCTACAAGAATACGTGCGGTTTTCGAGACAAGAGCCAGGTTTCTCTTAATAACAGATCGGCGACACAATTTCTCATCACAGACAGACACACAGACACTTTGAAATTAAGCGCCTCGTTCAATAACAAAACACTGAGTCAACGGTAGGTTTTTACTCTCAAACTCTGAAAGTCGTGCAAGATGCACAACAAATGCTAGAAACAAGGTAAAGATCATTAGATGCAAGGAAATAATTTCTCACCAAGAAAATTATTGGCGGGTTACCAATCAGCGCCATTGCAGTGGACAGTTTCCTCTTGTTTCCACCGCTGTACGTTTTGCTGGGTCTGTTGGCATAGTGTGTCAGGGCAAGCTTCTTGATCGCCCAGGACACAACCTAACAACGGCGAGGAAAAGAGGCATTAAATTATGGATTTTTGTGTTAAATTGTTCACTAAAGGGAATTTAACGCGCGTTGCTTGATTTGTAATGACTCATAAGAAAATTAAGATGTGTCACCGCTGGGGATTCGTGTGTGACTTGTGACGTCTGCGTAGAACTAGAAGTTTAGGGTATTAATTCAGTACCCATTTTTGTAGACTCTACAGATTTTATTTCCTTTTTTATCTTCACATGAAATATTAGTGTTATATTGCTGTAATCAGCCAGTTTATTTTTCTAGTGTGGGATGTCTGTGAAAAGCCCCTTGGAAAACTCAATTAATGATGAATGCATGTAAGTGGAGAATGACTGTGAATAAATCCCCTTACAGCCCCCTTACCTTGTGCAGTTCTTTTTCAGGCACTCCTCTGAGTCGCGCATACAGGGTCAGATGCTCACTGGCGGTCAGTTCGTCAAAAAGAGCGTCAAACTGAGGGCAGAAGCCCATACACTTGTGTACCTTCTGCATCTCTGAGGCAATACTATGTTTGGAAAAAACAGAGCAATCAATCAGACTGTGCATGCTCCTTTAAGACAAACAATGAAGAAACAAGAGAAATGGTCGCGTTCATTTCTACTGTAACTCCAGCTTTTTTGACAGTGACAGTTCCTTTCTTTATCAAGTAAACACATTGTTGACATGATCACAATAAACAACCTGAGATGTTTCTTCCGACCTTCAATGGTATTAAATCAACAGTGTTATAATTTCAAGTTTCCCGACCTCCTTCAAAATACCAACCCTGATCGATCCTGGAACACGCCCTGCCCCTTAGCATGCTAACGACACAGCCACTGAAGTAATGGTGTGAGCGTAAAAAGTGTTTTATCTTCTAACCTGTGAGAGTTTAGGAAAGCGTTCCCTGCAGTCATGGAGGTGTCTCCTGTCAACATCTTAAATGTGCTGGTCTTTCCTGCTCCATTCACGCCCAGCAGACCAAAACACTGTAATTATATTAACGATAACAGAAACTAGTTCGTATGGTGCGAAGATCACCCACTACAACTCGTAATTCACGAGTAAAAAGTCGTCATCTTTGTACCACCCAATTCTAAGAACTAACATACAAAGAAATGTATCACGATCAGTTGGGAGAATTTTTTATTTAAAGATTAGGAAGCGTACAGCCCCCGGGGGGAGGGGTACTCCCTTATATAGGTATGTGCAGCCCCAAAGGGTATGATTTTACAGCCGTTTTGGTCATAAATAGGGTATCGATTTCAGTTGATTTCGGCCATTTTGGTCATAAATAGGGTATGGTTTTCGCACTCTAGCCTTGATATGGGTATGTTTTTTAAGAAGAAGCCACTTTTTCATCATTATCGAAATGAAAATCAACAAAAGCCCTTCGCAAATTGTGTTTACGGAAATTTAACATTGATCTGAACTAGAGAACTAATTATAACGCAGGTCTGAAATAGGGTTTTGATTTAAGGGTCAGCTCATAGATAGGGTTTCGAATTTTTGGTTTGGTCATAAATAGGGTGGGGAAAATCGCAGATTTTGGTCATAAATAGGGTAAGGGTTTTGGGAAGCGGGCCACACACCCGTACCCAATTTTTCTGGGAGAACCCCCTCCCCCCTTCTCCCCGGGCGTACAGCTTACCTCTCCCTTTGGAACTCCAAAACACAGTCTGTCCACGGCCAGATGTTTACCTCTCTTTCTTGCATAATACACCTACGGGGTAAAAAAAAAACACACCTCACTCTACTGCAGGCCTTCACATTGCACTGATCAATAATTTGGCACTTTTCCTAGTTTCCTGTTTTTAAGCGATGACTTTCGACGGTCGCTCTGACACCTAAGTTTCTCGTAATCTCTTTAGTAGCTTAAGTGCCATTTGAAGAGACTGTGTAGTGTTCAAATGCCCAATGTGTCTTTGGGGAAAATTATAAACTCTTTTGCAAATCCAAACATGATAATTGAATTCAGCAACTTCGGATAGGCTCACCTTTGTTAAGTTCTCTATTCGTATGAGGTCCCTGCTCGCGCCTCCGCTAAGGACCCTTTCTTTTTCAGCCGCCACATCCTCGTCGAGCCCTTCGATTGGCTCCTTAGACACTTGTGTGCGCCTGAGGAAACATGTCAATAGTTGACATTATAATATATAGATTTAGGCCAGCCTAAAAGCGTAGCTCCTGGGCCGGGTTGTTCAAAGCCCGATTAAGCTAACCCAGAAAAAGGTAGAATTTTGATTTGAGTTTTGTAACTTTGCGGTGAGGTTTCTGTATATTGTTTGGCCTTCTGTTTTGAGTTTTAATAATCACCATATACACAAAACAAAACAGCAAAACACATTTGTATAAAAGAAAAGGTTATAATTCGATTAACTTTTAATCCTGGGTTAGCGTAAACTGGCTTCCGAGCAATCCTGCCCTGTTTCCAACAAGCTAACCCAATATGAGCCCGCGAT